GGGGGGGACCGTGTTTGTCCGCTCTCCCTCTCCCTGGTGTAAGGTGTTGAGGGGGAGGTCACTTCTTGCTGCTGGTGCTGCCGGGGGTGTTGGAAGTTGCGGTGGGGAGGCGTTTTCTCGCGTGTTTGACACTGCCGGAGCCAAGGGACGTCTGGAGGGAGAGACTGGGAAGAAAAAGTTACTTTCCTTAAGTGCCTGCGAGATAAATCTGTGCTAAACTCTGGAGACTCCGCAGGGGAAGCGTTGGCTGTTATATCTTAATAGGTTTTTGCCTGTCTGCGCATTAACCCAAAGACCTGCGGTTTCTTAACAGCCGCGCTCGTATCTGTTTAATAGCAGTAATGATATGAAGTCTTTGCTCTCGTGTTTTTTTTTTTTTAAAAAAAAAAAAAGAGAGAGGGGACGGGAGAAAACCCTTTTCCTCAGATACAGGCGTTTAAATGCCACAAAATGAACGAAGTCAGTGTAAAAGTTCTTAAAGTTCAAGAAATGCAATGTGAGTTGCGGAGCAGAGCAAGGGGCTCATATTTGGTTTTGCCCTTTCATTTGACTCATTGGCATTCACGCCTGACTCCCAGGCATCCTCTGGTTGCTGTGAAATGTCCCCCTTGGCTCAATGCAGTTTGAATTTTTGACGGCATTATAAAGAGTCCAGCTGTCACTTTTGCTGATCTTGATGGGAGATGGGTGCCGGTTTAATGAGTCAAAAGTATGAACCAAAGCATTTAAAAAAAACCCAACAACCCAACAAAAAAAAACACCAAACCCAACACCCAACCTTCTTTTCTTTTTGTGCTTGACTGGATCTCTCTCTGATCTGGGAAACACCCTCGGACCCCCTAAGCGAATTCACGTAAATCATAGCTATATCTGAACCGGCTCAGCGCTTAAAATAAACCAATGGACAAGAAAGGAGGAGACAGATCACAGCAGCCTTGCTCTTCTCCAGAAAATACAGCCCTCTGCGTTTGGGAAGGGGAAACTGTTCCCCTCTTTCTTTGAAAAAAAAAAAATAAATAGTAATACCACCACCGAGTCCAGACGATTCTCCTGCTCGGATCCCTGAGGTGCTCGGGGGTGCAGTTCTCCGCACCTCTCGGAGAAGTTCTCTGCTGTGTGCCATGCCACGGTATCTGATTATTTTCCCCTCTCTAAATAGCCCCCTCCTGTCCCCGGTGACTTTGAAGGATCCGTGTGTTATCAGTGGGGATGGCTGAGTGAGCACTTCTGAAACAATTAGCGTTAGGATTTCAAGCTAACAATAAAACTGTTTTCACTTTAGTGCACCTTTTTTTAAGGGTCTGTTAATCTAATTGGCATGAAACCAACCGCGCATCTCTCTGGCTGGATGTCCCCCTCCGTCTCTCCCCCCGCAGCACCCCTCTCCTCAATACTTCCTAAAAATATAGCGGGGGTGGTGGTGTTGTTTGGTGATGTTTGGGGGTGTTTCTCCGTGCAGTCCTGCCGGCTGCTACCCGCCCCCCTGGGCAGAGCTCCCTGCCTGCCCCCTTCCTCCCCCGGCAGCCCCAGATGTGGCTCTGGCGTGAAATGGTGAGGAAATCCGTGCGAGGTGCGTTATTGACACGCCGCCGGCGGAGGCTGACAGCGGCGGGCGGCCCGGGCCGGGGCAGCGCCGGTCTCCGGGGGTGATATCGGAGGGGGGCTCCGCCGCCGCCCCTGGCGTAGGGCGCTGCGGGTGAAGAGGTGGCCGGCGACCGTCTGCGGGGAGGGCGAGGGGGGCAAGGCAGAGCTGGTTAGGGTTAGGCAGAGCTGTAGATGTGAGGAGCACACCCCATTCTTGAATAGGTCGGAGGTTTTTTTTTTGGTTTTTTTTTTTTTTTTTTTTCCTATGTTCCCTTCATTAACATTCCCACGACTACCAAATCTCGTCTCTCTCTCATCCTCCTCCCTCCCCCATCCTCTTGAAATCCGGGGAAAGAAAACGGGTTGCCCGTCACTGAAATGTTTGTAAAGGCTTCCTACCCTGAAAACAAGAAAAGCGGTCTTGGTCCCCGCTTTCAGGGTCTGGCTCACCAGTAAGGCACCCACCCGAGCAGGGACCACTGCTGGGACTTTTTTCCCCTTCTATGTGAGTTTTAGTCCATGTAGATGATGTTATTGCAGGATGGTTTGCTCTGCACTAACTTACTGTGTTTCATATGGTCTTCCATTTATTTATTTTATTGCCTCTTAATAAAAAGGATTAATGTGGTTTTGCTGTTCAAATATTTCTTTTTCTCATTCCCCCGCCAGCATAGTTTATTTAAACTAGGGTCTATCTTTCTAAATTAAGAAGATCTCTTTGCTAGAACATGCAAATGGCTTTTTTTTTTTTTTTTTTTCCCTCCTCCTCTTACAGGTCATTTAAACACTCTCTTGTTTTACTAAGTTGTGGGTCACCAGTACCAGACCTATGCAGCAGGCGCTAATTTCTAATATGTCTAATGATTTCCCAACACAGAAACGTGGGACCGAGTCCCTCCAGCTTGGTGGACCTGTGATTGTAAATGACTTAAGGAGAATAACACGTTGGTTCAGTTATTTAACCTTAGGTGGTCCCATTTCCACGAGGGAAGGCAGGCAAGCAAACAGCTGCTTGTAGGAGAATATCTACCCTTGACGATCTTCTGTGTCTCAGGTCTCCCTTCTTATCTGTCCCTTTGGGGTTCTTTCTGTGCTTCCAGATGTTGACGAGTGCGCAGAAGCTACGGATGACTGTCACATCGATGCAATTTGCCAAAACACGCCAAAATCCTACAAATGCATCTGCAAGCCAGGCTATAAAGGCGAAGGGAAACAATGTGAAGGTAAGGACAGCTCGGCTCCTCTCCTATCTCTCCTCCCCTCCCTTCTCTTATTTGTTTGCTCTTTAAAAGCTTTTGTAAATAGCTGAATTCCTGAAACGATTAATGCAGATTTACAGCTGCTTAACCTCAAATCTGGGTGTTTATTGGCAAGCATCCCCCTGCTGCTTTGGCTAATTGTGCGGCATCACAAGCATCCTATCCGCCAGCCTACTTCTAAAATTAAAAATTAAAAAAAAATTAAAAATAATAATCATAATAATGAAAAAACGAGGCTGGTGCCGGGTTAGCACGGGCCGGGCCCGCTGCCGACGGGGGCTCGAGGCGCCGCGCCGAGCACGTGGGCCGGTTCCCCGGCTGCTTCTCTTTGACACTACAGATGTGCCGGCATCATATGTTTTTAGCCTGTGGAACACTATTTTAAAAGCGACTATTTCAGATTATTGTACTTACAGAGACTTTAAAAAGTTGTTTTACTTCTGTATGTCTTTATATCAATCCTTGCAATTGAAAACGACCTGGCATGTTTTATTAGACACTGTGTACACTCATATTTCAGATTTTATGAACTCCATCTTGTCTATTGAACCTCAGCAGAGAGATTGTTCCCTGGTGAAAAGAACGAATATTGTAATCACAGCAGAGTGCCTTACAAATAAAAGATGCAAGATTATTGGGTTTTTTCCTACTTGTAGATGCTTAACAGCTATAAAAATTCTCCTTCCAAGTCCCTCTCTACGGCAGACTGAAGCTTTTTCAAAATGTATATGGCCAGTCCATTAAAAAGATTAAAGACCTAGAAATGACTTTGCTGAAGTCTACAAAAATTTGAAACCACGTATTATTCTCCATGGACTCCCAAAGTGTTTGTTCAAGTGCCCTCATAAAGCATTTTTGTGGTTGTCATATTTTTCTGTCTTGGACTTAAATTGACAGAGACAAATTCCTACTGTCCACCTCTTGGTGCTCTAGTGTCTCTGAGTAGCTGTTCATTTGGAAGCCAGATTTTCTTTCTTGCAAACAGAATAATCATTCAGCACCACTTTTTCCTCTATTCATCCCTTCCAGGGAAAGAGCTCTCTGCAGAGAAAATGCAAGGCCACAGCTGTGGAGCATTCTCAGAGTTGGTACTTCTTGTTGTATTGGTTTTCCACATCAAACGTTTCCTTAAGCTTTAACTATTCATATTTTAGCTGCTGAGCTCTGTTTAATGGTAGACCTGGCTGATACTCATACTTATTTAATATACATATTTCTCTTTGCCTGACTTACCTTGGCTCAGTAAAAAAGAGAGCTCAGTAACTAGTAAAAATTCAGATTTCTCTGTGGAATGATGTACAGAATCATAGAATTTTTGTGACTGATGTCCAACTCCTATCCAGGTTTTAGTGTCTAACAAACTATCAAGTAAGCTGGGGCAGGCTGCAGCACAATTGGCATGGATGTTAATTGTTCAGCATTACTCGGGTAAATGTATGTAAGGTGCCTAAACCAGATATTGCTATGTGTGATATACAACTTTTTTTTACAATGTTACACTAACAGTTCTAAAGGTTTTGTATCGGCTCTATATCTTAAGTTTGTAATTAATATTAAAACTTGGGGTAAGCAGAAAGCTTGAAATATTTTTGTATGCTTCCTTTCTGTAGCTTATTTTAGATTACTGAGGTAGTAGCTCTTAATTTGATCCCAAAGTACTTTGAAACTTTGTTACTGAAGTTATGTACCTTCAAAACTATAGAGGTGAAGGAATGGTCAGTCGTACAAGTCAGTGGCAGACCTAAGATCTGCCTCAGGTCTGCTGTTCACAGAGAGTGGGTTTATTTTGCATCCTGGGGTCAAGTATTGAAAACCTACAGAAATAAACAGACTAGCAGTATTGATTGATATTTAATATTCTGTCACAAGACAACACCGGTAATCAGCCATTAGAAATCATCTTTTAAGATAAAAGAGACTGTGCTTGTAATAACAAAGATGAAATACACCGAATGGTTTTTGTTGGGCCAAAAGCTGAGTCTTTAAACAATTCTGAGTCTTTATAACTGAGCTTTTCTAAATAAGCTTTTTGGTCACTGAAACTAGTTACCTGTGAGAAAACGATGTCTTGTACAGATAATGTGCCTCTTTAACTAAGTTTGTAGAAATCTACCTGTATTGCTTCATGTCTAAAGAACATTCTTTATAGCATAACTCCTTCATAGTTCAGGCTCTTGTATACAGCTAGATTTTACTAAACAAGCAGAATTGTAATTTATATAGTGCAGTGAGCTTAAAGATTTTGTACTATATGATCAAATTTATTCCAATAAATTTTAGTGAGCTGCCAGGTTAGGTTAAAGTGAGGCATTACAATTAATTTAGAAAGATATGTGTGTTAACTTACTTTTAACATCAGTCTTAAACATTGCTTTCATTCACTTAAAATCCATTTTTAGAGAAAGGGCTTGAGTATGGGAACTAACATGATTTGGATGATTAAGTTTCATAAAAGCAATGGAGCATATATTTGTACAAATATGTCCAGTATGTGAATATGTATTTGTGTACTCTTGAGCATTTATTTACAGTTTTTTATTAAAAAATAGTTTTATAGATGGGATCTTTAGGCTAATGTGGTAAATGTGGAGCCCAGCCACTTGTGCAGGATTTTGTGCATATTTTGCTACTCTGACCTAAAGGGCGGGGAGAAATACGTAAGACAGAAACATTCCTTTGAGGACTTGTAGAGAGCTCTAGCAGCAATTATACTGAAATGAAACATTTTCTTGACAGTCTGTTAAATTCCTCTAGCAGGGAATTTGTTTCTGAACTTTGCTTTTTCTCCCAAAATGTCTTTTGGACTGGGTTTCTCCAGAGTTTCTGAGGATTGAGGATTATTTATCAGTTCATAGATCTACCCTACCTTTTTTCTGCTTTTTTGATGGGTAGTCTTCTTGATTGAACCAGCTGACCTGTTTCTTTCCACAGAGTGCAGTTGCTTCTCCAGACAGCAGAGTTGCTCCTTTTTCCTGTGTCCTGTCTTCTGCTTCCCTCCTTAGATTTCAGTTTACCTTTTGTTTTTCAACCAGCTATCTGCTATGCTTTGTCAAGCCATATGGTCAGTGTTACCATGATGATATTTCCCCATGTTACATAATATATCAATATCCTTTGACCACAAATTCTCTAGCTGGCATTTTTGTCAGACAGAATAATGTGTCCAACCTGGGTAATCTTTAAAAAAAATAATTGCTTTTAATTGTCCATTTCTATTCAATATACAAAGTCTATTCATTGATAACTGATTCAGTTGCCCTGGCAGACCTACTGTTACCTAGGAAATCTTCCCTGTTGTGACTTTAGTCAATATCTTAAATGCAGTGGCCTGCATTCAGCTACAAGCACACTCTTTCATGCTCCCTAGGTCTTTGTCCTTACCTTCTCTAAATTGACTTCTCGTCTCCCTACAGGTTAGTGTCTCAATAAAGTTGTTAGCTGGAAAATTGTGTCAAAGCAATGGAGATTCCAGAGGGTTCAAAAGGATTCCAAGTCCCGAGGTTCCCTAGACCTTGACAGGGCCTCCTTTGTCCCTGATGCCAATGTTACATTTGCTGTTGTAGGATTCTCTGTCACTGAACAGTTTATGAATGGGTTTAACTCTCAAACCTAGTAAATTTTTTTTGCCCATTGTACTTCTCAGGCTGTTACAAACCCTCGCGCCATTAATGGTTGAAATACTCTGTATAATTTCCGGTTGATGTTTATCTGTGCCCATTTTATATCCAGTTAGTGTGTTAACTTTATTTTAAACATATTTTTTTCCCTCGGCCTCCTGTTTATTTGTGATTTCAGTGAGTTGCTCTAGCTGTAGTTTCTTTTTCTTTTGGATGATAACTTACGTGTAGGACTCTACAGTATGTAGAAGATGTGATTGGATGAATGGGATTCTTCCGTAAGACATGTTCACTGGGATCTGTTGCTTCTGGGTTGCAAAACTCCGTTCTGAGCTTTCCTGTATTGAATAAGAGTTCCCTCTTCGTGCATTTTTTCTGCTGTATTTCATAGTATTTGCATGAACTTTTCTTTGGTTCTTTTAATAATTGGTCTCATACAGTTGTCATGTTTCTTGAACTCTTTGTACAGAAGAGAAATGCTCACAACTTTCAGCTGTACTCTTTTTTTTTTTTTTTTTTTTTTTCTGTTTGTTCATCGTCTTGTGTGACCTCACAGAAGATTTTTTCGAAAGTAGAAAATGTCATTGTCAACTACCTTTACAACTTAAGTCCATTTTTAGTCTTTGTACAGAAGAGAAATGCTCACAACTTTCAGCTGTATTTTTTTTTTTTTTTTTTTTTATTCCTGCTGTGAAGCATCATAATGTTGTCGATGGACTTCTCGCTGAGGGAAACATACATGTATACCATGGCAAAGTATCTTGACAGAGTGTGCCCTGAGAGGGTGATTTTCAGGTTTCAGCCTCTGTTGGAAAATTGTGCTATATCAGCAGCAGTTCTGCTTGACTGCTCGTTGAGTTGGCCTGTGCAGTTGTAGTGATGTACAGTTGTCATATGTTGATGTACTTGCAGTCCTTTTCCTAATGTAAGTAATCATTCCAGGTAAACAGATAGGTGGTTATGGTAATCTGCAAAGAGGGCTGTTATTCTTGATTACCCCAGTGCTAGCACCTCATAGGATTTAAGCATGATACAATCTCAAAAGAAGATAAACCATTCCTGCCTCAATTACAGGTGTATTCAGCCCCGCAGTAGGTTATATTCTGCATATGTCCATTTGGAAACACTGACTGATTGTCCTCTCTGAGCCCCAGTGCTCATCTAAGGACTGCTTAGCTGCTTCTGCAAAATGTACAGCCCAACAATGTAGCAAGGCATCTCCTAATCTGGGGCTGATATGCTGCTCATCTCAATTTCTGCCATAGTTCTAGAATTTTTCTGTGTACAGTGGATGGAAATACTCAATACTTGCATTGATATGCCTAGATTTTGTTATTTCCATTGATG